CTTATCCTACTATACAAAAAAGGAGATAAAAAACAACCTGAAAACTACAGAGGTATCAACTTATTAAACACCACTTTGAAACTTACAACGAAAATATTGCAAGGCCAAATAAATCAGAGAATTACCTTAGCGGATGAACAGCAGGGTTTTCGCACAGGAAGATCGTGCACAGATGCAGTATTCATCATAAAACAGATTACCGAGAAAGCACTAGAGTATAACAGACCAGCATTCATATGTCTAATAGACCTGAAGAAAGCGTTCGATAAAGTAAAGCTTAAAGATGTAATTCATCTTCTTTACGATAGAGAAATTCCACTAGATGTTATAAAAACAATAGAGATCATTTACCAGAACAACAATATGGAAGTCAGAATAGATGACCAGCTTACAGATCCAATAGATATGGACAACGGAATAAGACAAGGAGACTCGCTTAGTCCAACGCTATTCAATCTAATCAGAACAAAGAAATCAGAATACTCTGCTATGCAGATGATGCGGCCCTAATTACATCCAATGAAGACGATCTACAAAAACTAACCCATAGATTCAACACAACGGCAAAGGACTTTAATATGGTGATCTCTACACAGAAAACTAAAACAATTGTAATCAGTAAAGAACCAATTAGATGTAAACTGGAAATCGACGGTATCAGCATTGAGCAAGTAATGGAGACAAATTACCTAGGAATTACACTGTCTAGCTACGGAGATGTGGAGAAGGAAGTGAAAAATCAAGTACAAAAGGCTAATAAAATAGCAGGTTGTCTTAATAACACGATATGGCGCAATCCCCACAATACCGACGTGAAATCAAGAATCTACAAAGCAACAATAAGACCAATAATGACATACACTTCAGAGACAAGACCGGATACCTCCAAAACTCAGCAACTACTAGAAACAGCGGAGTTGCGTTTACTGAGGAGAATTACAGGAAACACACTGAGGGATCGAATGAGGAGTGAAGAGATCAGAAGAAAATGCAATATACCAGAAATAAATGCGTGGACACTGAACAGAAAAAAGGAATGGAACGAACACATAAACAGAATGGAAGAGACCCGATTAGTCAGAATAGCGAGGGACAAATCACCAAAAGGTAAAAGAAGTATCGGGCGACCACGCAAAAGATGGAGTGATAACCTCCAATAGAGGCATTAATCGACATTGAACAAGCATTTTGCTTAAAAAAAAAGAAGAAGAAGAAGAACTCAGGCGATTCGTGATTTAATAATAACGTGTAATGTAAACGTAGGTACGATTTACTATTTGTATTGTTTAGTTTAGTTTTCAAGTTATAATAAAATCGTTTATTAGTTTCCTTCACTTCAATAAATATACACATAAACGATAATAGCCATTATGTTTGTTTATGTAGGTATTTTCTTACTTGAAACTACTATTAAAAAATCATAGTTACTTGTTTACGAAAATCGGTTTTGCGACGTCAATGACCCACCTCTATTCGTAAATACCTGTGTACGCTTTGATTCGGTGATTTGACCACGCGACACGCCACGTTGGCAAATAGTTTTGTACGAAGCTTTTTTATTTATATGCAGTTTAATATTTTTATTGGAAATAAGGCATAATGTCACTTTAAAATAAGCTTATTTTGATGTTTAGATTTTTAATTCGGAAATCGTTTTTAAAATACCAAACATTAATAATTTTATTTATATAAAACGATTTCCGAAGTATAAATCAAAATGTTATATTACACTTATTGGAAAGTAAAATTGTGGCATATTCCCAATAAAAAACAATAAGCTGCCATTTAAATCCATTTTGCCCAAATTTCATTATCTTGGAGCATTGTTCAAATGCGAAAAAGACAACAGGTCAAATAAAACCAATAAGTTTGGCAACGTTGAATTTCCCCTTTTTATTATATCCACTCCATATCCACTCATTTATGTTCGGTGGTATAAAAGGCGGACACCTAATATATCTCTCTCTTTTTAAACAGTTGTTTCTCACTCCATCTCATGTAAGGTCCATACCGACCATAAACTTTTACCTATACTGTATATATATACATATATATATATATATATATATATATATATATATATATATATATATATATATATATATAATATTAAGTCACAATTAATTGTGACTTACTACGTCAAACTAAAGTTTGACGCTTCGATTTCCACTCCAGCCATAATTCTGGAAAAAAAAATTTAAAAATTCTGAGAAATAGTAGTATAACCAAAACGAGTTATTGATAAGTTATGTCTTTCCAAAAATTGATATACTTGGCCTCGATATTATAGGCCAATAGAGATCTTTCACCTGAACTTTCGAAGAGCTTTATTATTCCACTCGGTATTTCATCCGGTTCCGTTGCTTCTGTATCTGTAAAGTAGGGAAGGCGAGTTAAGTTTCACAGTACTTAGGCTACAATTGACCCATTATGCATCTTCCCAAGGAGCTGTCATCCTTAACTCATTGTCCATCCTGCTATTTTTAGAAAGGTGGACAAGTCACCAAGACACATCTCCGTTATGTGGCAGGTGTAGGCCAGGACTCGCCGAACGCGTACTCTCGTATTAACGATGACTTAGGGAATTCAGACAGGACAAGTTTTACAGTTTCGTATTGTCATTCACATATTCTACATAGAGGTATATCTACTAGCCCCAGTGCGTGGTTTTTGTTTGGTTGGCAATGGCCAGTTAAAAACCAACTGTCAAGAGTAGGTTTCTTCTGGTAATTCTTAAGTACCTACTTCTTTGATGCTGACTTTTTAAAGTTACTTAATATTACCTTGGCAAGTCTACATCCTTGCCCTTCTTTCCATTTTTTACGATTTGTGTATGGGAGTGACATTTGACAGTTTCCGCAATTGTTGTAGTTGACCAACCAAAAATATCTCCAGGTCCTAAGAGTCTTAGGCCTGTCGCCTTTCTGGCCAATTGGTCAGCAATTCGGTTGCCTTTATTCCTATTGTGTAACCTATCTCAAAATGACGGTATTACCATCTGTAGCCCTAGGGGGAAACCGAGATGTAAAAGTAGTAAACTTTCTTGGATCTTTTTTGGGACCCACAATTGATATTCTCAGCAAAATTCAACTTGTTCATATGATTTTTAGATGTGCAGTGGTATTTTCGTCTCTGACGACTGGAGTATTAACCTTATTGCTTGTTAAATTTCATCCTTAGTTATGTCAAATCCTGTCACTACTTCTAAAGATCGGACCATTCATCATTAAACAGTTCCTCAATGTACTCTTTTCATTTCTATCAACGATATTATTTGCATATTTCCTTACTGGCCCGTTACTTCATCTATTATTTTATACATATAAAATGCTTCATATTTTTATTGTAACTCTTTAATTTCCAAACATTTATTTTCGAAGTATGTTTCTTTTACAGCTCGTATATTAGTCCCTCATTAATAATTCGTTTATATATTTGGACGTTTTGACTCTTTTGTTCATTAGATTCAAAGTCTCCTTTAAAATTGTTTATCCATTGTTGTTTTTTTTTTCTATTGTTATCTTTTAAATGTGGAGTTGAGCTGTTTAGAATCGTTTTTATTTGGTTCCAATGACCATCGATTGATTCTTGTTGTTCGTTGTTTTCAAAATTGCTCTCTCGATTGTTTGCAGTCAATTGACTGTTGTTTCTAATTAAATCCATACGTTTTGTAGTCAATTTGATTTCATAAGATATTACGAGGGGTATCTGCTGGAAATTTTCACATATATAATTTCCATTTAGGTAGTTTGAAATAGTTATTCCTTATACATAGATTATATTCTTTGCAAAAATCTGCGAAATAGTCTCTTCTTTAATTTCTATTGCCCAGTCCAAAATCTCAAATAATCTTACTGTCTGCTTTTTCCTAGATAAGCATTAATATCACCCATCAGAATAGTGAGATTTCGAGTCTGGACTTGGTTAATAACAGTTTTTACATCTGCGTAGAACTATTCAAGTTCTTCTAGTGCACTTTCCGCAGTCGGTGTATTTCTATCTCTTTCTATACAGCCCTTGCTGTCCAATTTTGGACATAGGCCTCCTCTTCCTTCTTTCACGTCTCTCTATTGTAGGCAGTTTGTATCCACTTCGGGCCTGCTTGTTTCTTCATCTGACCATCTCATTTGAATGTCGGTGTATTAATTGTAATAAATTTACGTTTCTGGGTTTCACGTTCAACTGAAGTATTACAACTCGTTCAGATAACTGGTTTACAGCCCTAACACATTTGCTAACCTTCCTTGCGACTATGAATCCTACACCCTAACAACGATAATTGCTCTTCTCCTGAATACCACACATCATGATTATCCACATTGCATTGTTCATATGTGTATACGCAGTGTTCACATCTCATTAATTTCATATGTGGGTTTTCCGGGTTCATATATACTCCGAACATGCCATGTGCCCATTCTACAACTAATTTCTATATCAAATTTGGCCAAGCTAAAGATTTTTCGCACCCCTGCCTCATTTAAGAGGCGCCCGTAGTCGGGGCCATCGTTTAGTTCCTCAGCCATAATGATATTCCTGGGAAAAGTAATGTAGTAAAAATTCACTATTCTAACGATTACCATGGTTTTTTAATAAAAATTTTCCATCACCGAGTTGGGCTGGTAACCATCCCCAGAGGAAAAGCCCATATTGATATAGGCCAGTATAGGGTAGATTTATATCTTGGGGATATTTTTTACATACTGTCAAAATTTTAATCAAATCCATGCATATAAAAAGAATTCTAAACCGAAAACCCTTATATCCTGGATTAAAATATAATGAATACTTAAAAGTATAATATGTTTGTCTCTACAGCATTGTTAATTTTCTTCATCAACATCAGTATTTACAAGACTCAATAGACACAAAAACAGATGTGGACCTAATATGATTATTTTTCTTGCTTTCCTTTAATTTTAAAAGTGTATGAGTATATTTATGTTACTATACATTTATGTTTTAATAGATATAATTGGTGGTTTTAGAAAAATTATGAAATGGATCCTGGCGAAATTCACATAATAGGCCATTCTTTAGGAGCGCATACAGCTGGTTATGCTGGGGCTTTAGTTCCAGGACTGGGAAGAATAACAGGATTGGATCCAGCTGAGCCGTATTTCCAAGTAAGTAATTTATCTATAGTAAACATTTAGATCCAAAAATTAGTAATAGCCAAGCGGGCAGATAGCCAAGCTGGCTGATAGCCAAGCAGGCTAGGCGCATTAAGCGCTTTCGATTCACTATGAGAGAGTGTAACAATCTAACCATCAATGTATGTAAGACTGAAGTTACTACCTATAAAATTGAAATTATAAAATCATCATTGTCATCATCACCCAGCCCTTTGCACCCACTGGTGGATATCTTGAGCAATTTTCATCCAATTTCTTGACATTTTTTTGAGATCGTCAGTCTAACGAGTAGGGGGTCTTCCTCTACTTCTTTTGTATAACCTCGGCCTTCACTCAAGTAATCTCTTCGTCCACCTTTCATCACTGATTCGGGCGACGTGTCCGGACCAGTTCCATTTCAGTGTGGCAATTCGCTATATATTCAGCATTGAGTTATCCATTTTTCTCTGACCTATTTGCTGCGTATTAGAAGTTGTAGCTGTAAATGTCAAAATTTCGGCACCATAAGTCCTTACAGGAAACACACATTGGTCAAATGTTTTGAGTTTTAAAGAAATTGGTATAGCAGATAAACTCCAATGATATTGATGATTTGAATAACCTTATTACCTAAACAGTGAATAAAAGCCTTCTGCAACTGAAAAACCCAAAAACAACATACAATGAATTAGACAAAGAAATATTACAACAAATAAAAAGAAGGAAGATCTTAAATAAATCTAACAAAAGGGGAACCGACGAATATAAAGAACTTAATAGGCAGATTAGAAAAGGAATTAGACAACAAAAAAGAAAAGAAAACGAAAAATTAATAACAACAACTATTGAAAAAAAATAAAAGTATGAAATGTCTCAGACCGACATTAGGACGACGTCAGATGATATCATTAATGGGAAAAGAGGAAAATGAAAAACTAGAGAAAAAATACTGACACGAATAGAAGAATTTTACACAGAACTTTACAGAACACATCAACAAGATGATCAGCACGGAAATTAATAAAAAATGTTGGATCAGAAATAATGCCAAAAGTAACAATTTCAGAGGTAACTACAGCATTGGAAAACATGAAGAGAAATAAAGCTGCAGGAGACGATAGTATTACCACAGATATGATATTAGAAGGAGGTAAGGAACTAACTGCAGCTTGTGGACAGTTGTTTACATCAGGGCAAAGCCCCTAAGAGCTGGAACAACTCTAAAGTAATCTTATTACACAAGAAAGGTGATAGTCGAAAATTGGAAAACTACAGACCCATCAGCCTACTGTCACACCTGTTTAAAATACTCACCAAAGTCATAACTACTCGAGTAACAAGGAAATTAGACGAAAACACGCACACACACTACATTAATAAACTTATCTTGATTGAGACTGGCTGAATGACAATTGTCCAAGCCAAAACACACACAAAAAAAAATTCCCCTTCGTTGGCTCAGTGAAGATGTTCGTTCAGTTGTAATGGAAACACAAAATAATAGTAGCAGAGTTTATTGACGAGACGTACACTATGGGTGTGGACCCGGGATTACTTTGAGTAGAGACTGTTGCAGTTGAGCGTTGAAGACTATCACGTTTGTTGAGTGAATATTGATTGAATTCTTCTCTAGGCAAGAGATTTTAGTTTTATATAAGTTTTAATTGGGTCAATATATTCGCGGACCTAATGACATGTGTTTAAGTTGTGTGTAAATTGTTTAACTTTCGTCAGCACTTTCGACTGATGTCCAAATTTTATTGTTGATAATTGACCAAATCTAATGTAACCTAATTAACTACGTGTGTATATTTAATAACAAATAAATTCATTCGGTCTACTGGGTGATAAAATTATACTGTCCAATTTCGGATATGAATTCTGAAGATTTGATATTGGACAATTGTTGGTTAGTTAAATTTTGTTCTTAGTGGTGCTAAGCAAGTTTATATACGGTTCAATTTATTCTTAAAGAATGTATTTGCAATAGACATGTTTTGGTAGTGTGCAAACTGAATTCAACTTTCTTCCCATTCATTTCCCACTATCTTTCTTTCTCTCTCTCTCTCTCTCTCTCTATCTCTCTCTTGTATATATATATATATATATATATATATATATATATATATATATATATATAATAAAACAATAAAAAATTACTTTATTGATAAAAAGTAATATTCAAGTTTTATTATTTTTAGGGAATGCCAGCACATGTACGGCTGGATCCAAGCGACGCGGAACTAGTGGACGTTATTCATACTGATGGTAAAGGTATCTTCTTTTTAGGTAAGTCTGATCAAGATAATTTCTTTAAAACTAAAGCATAAAAGATGGTTTTCTTCAAGGTTATGGAATGTCTCAACCTTGTGGTCATTTAGACTTTTATCCCAATGACGGCAAAGAGCAACCTGGATGTGATATTACCCAGACGCCGTTAGTTCCTTTGACTTTAATAAGGTAAACCAATAATGACATTCTTGTGTAGAAAATCAAAAGGCAAAACAATTGTATTAGACAATACCTAAATAAATAAAATGTAAATTACTTTTTAGAGATGGTCTTGAAGAGGCTTCACGTGTTTTAGTAGCGTGCAATCATGTCAGGGCCATTAAATTATTTATCGACAGTATATCCACTAAATGTCCTTATATAGGTAAGTTATCAGTAGATTTTTGATAGCAAAAATACCATCATATTTTTTATTAGGTCATTTCCAAAAGATGTGAGTACACATTTGCGTTAGTTAGTCTCATTTGTGACTATAAATGTTGGTGCTAATAAAGCGTATAAAAATACACAAATATAAAGTGACTAAATTTAGTCTGTAAAATTAATAGATATTAACAAATGTTATTACCTAAAATCAATATGTATAGTAAGTTGGTACTGACTTCTTAAAAGGACTTTTCTTTAACGTTCATAAAAAAGAATGGAGTACAAATTACTTCATGCGTTATTGTTACCTTAATAACTTTTAAATACAATTTTATAAAATTCCTACTTTTTTTTACACGAGTTTTTAATTATAGGTCGGGTTTTTATCGGCGATTTGTATATACCTCACTTGATCTGTAACGTTTAATTGGGCCACGGATACACCCCGGTATCATTAGTTGTTATTATTTAGCCAATTTAGGCGTTTCTTATTTTTAATTAATTATCTTAAAGTCAATTCTTACAAACTCAAATCTCAAACAAACTAAAAAAAGGAACAATTTTTACTGATTGTTAAGTCGAATAATTTTTTTGACAATGCCGATTGAGAATAAAATGTATTATAGCACAGCTTTTATGACATAAGATTATAATGGTCTTTATACATGATTGTTAAAAGCTGAAAAATTTATAAATATCGATATTTTCTTATCTCAGTGCTGTTCAAGTATTTATAAACTGCAGCAAACTCCAAATACAATACAACATAAAATACAAATAGATATGATGTGCAAATGAGCAAGCCTTGAGAATTTAAGTTCGTAATGATACAATGATAATCGCAACACCGTAACTCCATGTCATTTTGCTACCTCATCTACAGCATACTCAATATATTTTTGGTGAATGTAATTTAGGTCAAGTGTAAAATCTTTTTTTTTTAGTATTCAAAAGTAAGAGTTCTTTCTTTTTCAAGTTAATATTAGATAATTGTTTGTTTAATCTTGAAGGTTAGGTTCAATATGAGTGGGTGTTTAACCACCCTTCCACTTGATGTGGCTCATCCCTAGATTTTTTTTGTTGAAAGTTTGTTGAAGTCGTCCCCTTACTCCAGCCCTTTTAACAAAGTCACATCTCAAATGTATTGAGTCTCATCCTATCCAACCCTGGACAGAATCTGCAATTCGCACTTTCTGTCAGTCCGATTTTGTTCATGTGTCACTTGAGACGACAGTGTCATGTTAGAAGACCCATGATGATTCTCAGATGATTCCTATTCATATATATTACATCTTTCGATCGGTTTTTCGAAGGTTCATGTCTAAAAGCCTTCAAATGTTTGAGATCCAGTTGTTTACACTTGTAATTACACTTCATTTGTTCCACACAGCCGATACGGTTCTTTTATACGTGCTTCTTGCTATGCTAACGACAGGTTCTGGGCCTTTAAATATATTTTTTGTCGCTCTTCTGGTAAGTAGGTCCACTTTTTCGTTCCCTTTAATTCCAGTATATCGAGGCACCCAGAATAAACTGTGTTACTGTGTAATTTGTTACTTTTCCGATCTGAATTAGATTCTGACGACAGTTCCAAACTAACCTGAACTCAATCCAATTCGATAATTTTTTAGATATGTAACTGCAGCTCCTCGTGATTCGTTCCTTCAGACACATCTCTATAGCATAAATTTCGGGTTGGAATATAATAAAGTGATTACCTAGGCTTTGATTAAGACTTTGGTTTCCCTTCGTATATCCCAGCTCCAACACCTTCATCAGTTTCATTTAGTTTTAGTCTATACACCAGCATTGATCTGCCAAGAGATTAGTTTTATTCGACTCTTATTCTCGGAAAGAGCACAATAAACGGCTTTTGAAAATTATGTTAAGGTTGCATTGCATCTGGTACCATAACCAACTCCGAGTGATTTTTAATTATCTCTCCAGATTTGATTCCAGTATCCATTTTTTCCAGTTTCCTGGCATTGTATCCGCCTTCTTTATAGACTTTTACAATCTCCTCCTTCTCCATATATATATATATATATATATATATATATATATATATATATATATATATATATATATATATATTTATATATATATATATATATATATATATTATATATATATATATATATATATATATATATAAATATATAAAATAATAAATCTTCTAGCAAAAGCTGATATCGCTTTGTTAAATTAAATGCCCAAAGATATGACCTAGAAGGACAAATTCGTTAAACTTCCCATACTCGAATCGGTATCAATAAAGTGTTATGAATTATTTCGGCCTATCCCAACCTCATCAGACACTTGGGCTGATACAACTGAAACAAATTCAAACTCGGAAAGTCCAACGAATGTCTTCTAAAGCTTCACCACTACGGTGGTTAGCGTACAGAGGCGCTACCTGCTTTGGCAGCCGTGAACGAATACGATATAATAATATCGTTTTTAACAAAAATATCGGAGTAGAAATTCGTTAAACTTCCCGTACTCGAATCGGTATCAATAAAGTGTTATGAATCATTTCGGCCTATCCCAGCCTCATCAGAGATAATGTTCTATTCCTATTTTGGGTGACACGTGTCTCATTAACGAAGTTCGTATTTATTAACTTCATGGGTGATGGCCCTCCACGTCTTTTTTACTCTAATTTTCCTTGGACCTCTTCGTATTATCACCACATGTTATGTCCAAAGAATGTTATTTTTGAATATATGGAACTCGGGTAGCGTTATGGATGTTAAGCTCTAAATGAACAGATGTATTTATTCTTCTGGCTAATCAAGGAATTTGAAGCATTATTTTCCAACATCACATCTCAAATGCATCGATTCTTTTCCTATCTGCTGTTCAGATGGTCTGCATTTTAGAGTCATAGCTTAATATTGAGAAAATCAGTGTTTATAAAAGATTGATCTTCGTGATTTTATTATGTGTGAAATGAATAAAAATAACGAGAAAGTAAATAAAACAATTTCAGTGCCTGTCTCACTGCATGAAAAATGCACAACTACCAACTACCTACTATGCACTGATCTACCAACTCTATAGATAATTGGTTACGGAGACAACACAGACACAAATATGATGAATTTACAAATTTTCCGCCTATATCCCAAGGGACAATTATTAATATAGAAAAACAGTTTCGAGAGCTTGGACATGTATGAGAGATAAAAAAATCAGCAGCCAATTCAATAAATTGGATATATTACTGAAGTTTGAGAAAAAATCACATAGTTTTAGTCAAACAGCAGCTTAATATTCGAGTTTAGCCGTTCTTCGATTATTCTAACACTAAAAGGATCTTGAAATCACAAAATAAACTAAAAATGTTATTTCCATTATAATTAAATTGTTATTAATCCCATAAAAAAATTATTTAACTTAAACATTCCAGAAGAAAACAGAACCTCGTTAAATTTAATGTATCGATTTCCACATCGAAAAACTTTCTCAAAACGTATTCATCTTTTATAATTACAGTGAAAATTGTGTAAAATGCAGTCGCATCAAGTTTTCATTAAAGACAGAATTTCTCTTTATCCTGTTTAGATTCTATGCGTTACAATATGGAGGCAATCATAAATATTTCCCCCTTCGACAGGATTTCTTATTGAACAGATCTCAGTTATTCCGGTTTCACTTTATAAAAAAAATATGAATAAAGTTTAAAAATTTATCATTGTAAATAAACAGTCTGATTCCAATAAATATTTCTAATTTAGTATTTATTTTATAGGACATCAATGCAAAACTTACGGACAGTTCAAAGAAGGAAGATGCTTTACTTGTAAACCTGGCTCAGGATGTGCTATTATGGGATATCACGCTGACAGTACTCCAGGTTTATTAGATAATAATGAGATACAACCCCAATCAAAATTACAGGAAATGGTAGGATCAAAGTACTTTTTAACAACAGGCAAGGAATATCCATACTGTCGTAAGTAATATTTACTTTTCTCCTTACGATTGCTTCTGCCACTGCTCACCAAACTATAAATTCAAAAATATTCAAAATGAATAATTTTTCTAAATTATCCGATAATATCCTGTAGTCCAGGTTGTGATGCCACTCACTAATATTAAAGAATCTATCTCTTCTCTGTCATCTTCCTGATTAGAAGAGCCTGAGAAATTGACTTAAACGTTATTCATAGTAATATTTCACTACCTTGCTTTCTTGTATCGCAACTTACAATAAAATGTACAAACTTACTGAATACATTTTTCGAGAAAAGCATTGTATACAATTTTACAATGTTTTTATAAAAAATATTCATGAATAATAAAATTTTTCAATATTGTAACATTGGTTACAACGTTTTTTCCACCAAGTGATTCAAAATTTGCACGTACAATAAGGTTATTTTGTTTTTATTTTTAATAAGTAGATATATTTACATAACGTCGGTAAAAGTGTAAGACCTCGTATTTGCAATTTTGACAGAATTCATTTTATCATGTTACTTAGAACAGTGCTTGCCTGCGCATATGCATAACACCTTGTATGTCCAAGTTATTTGGATCTTATTTTTTTAACGATAGTATTTTAGTTGAGTAGTTTATTTGTCATACAAAACCGCGTATAAGGCGGTCACTTGCAAATACGAAGTTTTGTTCGTCAGAAATGTCATAAAGCGCCGTGAATGTTTTCCTTCTTTTTTTTTTGGTAATTTTTTCGTGATTTTTCTGAGTTATATATTCTGTCAAAAGTAAAAACTGGTAAATGGTCAAAGGCCGAATATTATTCAAGGTAAGTTTTGTAATTAGTTTATTTTTACAAAAAAAAAACTGTTTGATTCTATAAAGTTGGGTTATGGTTAAACTTGTTTTGTATTTTATTGCATGCATTTGTGTGAGATAAAACTTATTTTATATAATAGTACTATTCAGGATGTATTTAAATCAAAAGTGCAACCCAGCCACTTTTTAGTAATTGCAATATTAATACGATGTTTATGTTTTTTTTCAGATTTCGCAAATACGAGGTTTTGTACTATGGGTATAACAGGGTCAATTGGTCTATCCAGAAACAAACTGATGGTAAAAAAAGCTTTGTCGAATTTTTCAGACTTCTGTGAAGGAACAAGAATCTTCCAGGTCAATAAATAATCAGGACCAAAAAGCCAGTGAAGAACCTAATCTAATAAATGAAATAATAGAGTTGGAAAAACTTGGAATCTGCTTACCAGAGGTAAAGAGCAATCAACTAGTTGAAGAAATTTTATGTTCCCATCTAGATTTTAAGCCAATAACTCAGATCGGTGTTTTAAATAGAATCGACTTAAACCAAGATATTGATAATATTCAAATAACTGTGCCAATAATAAATAACAAAAAAATCTGGACAGTGAGGAAAAGCGACTTGAAAATGCAAACCTTAATGTGATCAATCAAACTGGTGCGGAAACAGAGGTGGATATTATAGATGACAAAGATCCAGATTTTGTTGCAATAGCAGAAGACTCGAGCTCAGAAAGCAAAGATGAAGCCGGCAGTTTAGTCGAAGAAGAAAGTAATCAAAATGGAAGAACAGATGAGAACAGAAAGTGTACTCAAACAAGAAGAGCCAGAAATAAAAATAAAAAAGCTAGAATGCTTGGAAAAGAGTATTTGGGCTTAAAGAAAGATGATGATGGGCATTATAGGTTGATGGTTAATAAAAACAAACGCACTTTAAAACTTGGATGTACCTCTCGGAAATGTCAAACATCAAAGACAATATTTTGTAATGAATTTGTGGAGCAAGACAGAAAAGCAATTTTTTATTCATTTTGGTCATTTACATTGGATATGAAAAAGACATTTTTAAGTTCAATGGTTGATGTTATTTCTAGCAAACGTACAGTAGAAGGATCTCGAAGAATTAGCACTCTCCATTACTATTTAAAAAATGGAACTGAGAAAAAAAGGTCTGTAAAAAAATGTTTTTGTCAACATTAAATGTAGGTGAATGGATGATTAGAGTGTGCTAGAAAAGATAGTGGAATAAATTTGCCTGACGTAAACGTTCGGTGAGTTGGTAGAAATAGGAGGAGTACAGATAAATCGAGACACATACTTCAAAAGTTTTTATCAGAAATCCCTAAAATGGAGTCCCATTACTGCCGGGCTAGTACAAATATGTTGTACTTAGAGCCTGTATTCCGAAACAAAGCCGAATTTTATAGAGAGTACAAAAACTACTGTCAAAATATAAATACAAACTGTCGTTCTAAAAAAGTTTTTTTAGAAGAAATTAACAAATCTAACATAAAAATCTACAAGCCACGAAAAGACCAATGCGATTTGTATATTTCCCAGGGATTGGGAAATATTTCAGATGAAGAGTACATGAAACAAAAAAAAGAACAAGCAGAGAGTTTGAAAATGGAAGATAAAGAGAAAGCTATTAGTCACCCCGAAAAAATCGCGGCTTTTTGTATAGATGTACAAGCTGTAAAGTTGTCTCCTGTTTTGCAAGCCAGTGCCATTTATTTTAAGACAAAACTTTCTGTTCATAATTATACTGTCTACAATATGGCTACTAAAGATGTAATCTGTTACCTCTGGGATTAAGCCCAAGGCGGTCTTGAAGCTAATATTTTCGCTATTCTCCTTATAGAGTTCTTCTCCAATTACCTTTCAGAAAATAAATCAACAAAAGAATTTGTCATATACAGTTATAATTGTGGGTATCAAAATAAAAATTTAATACTTTCAAATTCTCTTCTACAATTTTGTGTGGAAAACAACGTTCATATTACTGAGAATTATCTCCACAAGGGTCATACCCAGATGGAAGTTGACTCCGTCCATAGCACAATTGAAAGACGGCTCAAAAATCGTGATATTTATGTACTTTATGATTACATTGTTGTTTGTAAAGAAGCAAGAAGAGCACAGCCTTACAATGTTAAATACATGAACTTTCCCGACTTTAAATAAATTCAATTTTATTCATCTATAAGACCTGGTCGTACAACTGGAGATCCTCCAGTTAGTGATTTTTTGTTCTTTTAAGTATTCTTCATTTGGCCAAATATTCTACAAAATTAACCATACAGATAATTATGCATCGTTGCCAAAAAGATCGACCTCCAAAAACGAACAAACTGTTATTCCTCCATTATACACGTCACAGCCAAAAACAAAAAAACAAAAATATGACCACCTTCAAAGCTTGAAAGTTGTTCTTGATAAAATTGTGATTTTTATGATAAATTACCTCATTATGTGGTTGATTTTTATTTAGAATATTAGTTTGTGACTGTGTTGAGTCCATGTTTAAAGTTTACTGTTCCTAAAATATTGTTATGTTTCTTACACATTTAGGTTTATATTGAGTTGTTTTCAATTTAACTGAATAACATTCTGTTCAATATTTTGAGATGTGCTGTTTACTAGTGCCTTAAGAATTAAAGTTGTTTTATAGTATGTTTAATATCCAAATAAATAAAAATTTGGTCCCAATACAGTTCAAAAATTATGGCATAAAAACGTCTTATTTATCTTTATAAGTTTTTTTTGACCTCCTGGAAAATTTTCATATTTGCACATACGAGGTCCGGCACTTTCACCGACGATAAGACAGGATAAAAGTTATTAGACCAAAATAAAGGTTATCCTTTATCGATGTTATATAATCCATAGTTGTAAAACATTTTAAGTAGAGTTACAATGTTGTCCATATCAGGTGTCGGTTAGTTATTGTACGAATTGTTAATTAATCAGGCTATTAAATATCTGGCTTATTACGCCTTCTTTATAGCTGCTATAGTTATGATATAAGAATTTTTGTAATTATATGCTATAATATTGTTTTCTTGGTATATTGTAATATAAGAAATAGTGTAGATGTCTATCACATATAACTAATCAACATTAGATTTTGTTTAATTTGAAATTATTTTGCTTCAGATCGCATGTATCGAATTAGCACAGAATTGGCACATCCTCCATTTGCAGAAAATTGGGTACAAGGCCACCTTAAAGCATCTATCTATAGTCCATCAGGTGTAATACACGCAGAATTGACACCATCTGGTGATATGAAACTAGAACATGGAGCTACATATACCACTGTTATATCTCATCCTGTCGATCTAGGCGGTAATGTTAGAAAAGTCGAACTTAGTTGGGAATATGACATGAATGTTTTAGAGCCTAGAACATTGTGTCTATTTTGGTGTAATGATCATTTATATGTAAAGAATGTTCTGGTAGAAGAAATGGAGATGCCAGGTAGAGGGTAAGTTTGAACGTCAGTGGTACTAAAAATACCGTAGTAAAAGTTGGAATGTACAACATATAGAACTGCGTTTATAATAATAACATGTTACTATTATATAGGATTTTTATCAAGGTTTTGAATAAAACCTGCACAATAATAACTTACACATTTTGTGAAAAATTGGGGAAACTTGTATAGACCTTTACCTAAATATCTATTTGTTGATAATTTATACAAACGAAAAATAGAAGAGGAAATAGAAGAGGTTCTCAATCCAGAGGTATAAAATAGTCTTTTCATTTTTCAATCCCCATTTATCGACTTTTTGAAAGCTTTTGATCGTGTGAGGCATGCTGCTATGATACTTGCTTGACAAAATAAGGAAAATCAGAGATTGCAAAGTAATATTAATTTGTTAAAAAAGATTATATTGGGAACATAGCATGCCCATCAATTATTGATAATAAGCATATAGTTAAACATGAATTTTGTGAATAGTGTAGCTATGTATATGACACTGTTATACTAGATAGCAGTCAAGAAAAAGTGTGACGTCACTCGACACTGAGGAGTAGGCAGATTGAGACCTCAGTGCCGTTTGACGGTTCTTGTATTTTTACAGAACAAGATACTGGTACTTCGCGAGTAAGGAAAGTAGGCAGATTGACACCCAGAACTCGAACGGAACCGTCTCCCTCTTGATAATGACTCCAAAATTCATGCCGAAATGAGGTTTAAATTCTCAACGAGATTCTTCCCCAGAACTTACTTTCCCTCCATAATCAATTTTAAAAATTGGTACTTTTTCTTCTTTTTATGTAGACATGTCTGTCTGTTTTATAATGTGTCTCCAGTAAGTTGTCGTTCCATCGTTTTCGTTGTCGTCCTACTGATCGTCTTCGTATTGGGGAAAGGTTTCTCGCTGTTTTTACTACTCCGTTCGTTGTCATTGAGTCGTCATTTCTTACCCACTCCTTGATGTTCTCCACCTTGCATCTACGTCGTATATCTGTACTTCTGGCTCGTTCCCATAGTATATTACCATCAATTTTTCATCTCTGCTGTTATAGGTTTCTAACATTATTTTTGTCCTCCCTCTGCCAGGTCGTGTTTCTACCGCATCTGTCATTATTGGTCTGATGACCGTTTTGTAAATTCTGCCTTCCATTTCTTTCTCGATATTTTTATTTCTCAAAATTGTTTCATTTAGGCATTCTGTGGCTCTGTTTGCTCTATTTACTTGATATTCCACTTCTGTTTTGAGTTTTCTGTAACTAGATAGTGTGATGTTTAGATATTTAAACTCCATCACTGGTTCTATTATCTGACATTGCAGCTCCAATTTACGTCTTAGAAAATTTGGTGTTATAAACATGCATTTTGTCTATTTTGGGGAAATTAAATGTACAATTTTCTGGCGATTAAATATTAAATTGATGCAACATACATTGAAAATCATCTTCACTTTAAGAGAGTAGTACTGCGTCGTCTGTATGGTAGATTATTTAGGTTGTTTTTCTTCCATTTGGTATCAACGGACTTGGGAATTTATCTGTCTTATTCCATTACCAGCTTCAATTAAATTAGTTAGTTCTTTTTCTACTTTTACTTTTATTACTTTGGTAGATTTATTTTCAATCGTTTTGATTATTCCTAGTAAAATAAGTGGATAAGGTCCTTTAATTTAAATCTGTCAAATGTCTTCTTAATGTCCACGAAACATAGATATGCCCGTTTGTTGTATTCTAATTATCTCTTGCACTTGCCTCATTATAAATATAGATGCATGATCTACCAAGTTATTTGTTTAAATTTAGTTTACATTACATGGTATTATATATTAGGATGTTATAGTTCCAGTGGATTTGGTAACATATCACTCCACATGAAGTTGCTGGTTCTGAGAGGATGTGTCTACGAGGACACATCGTAGATAAATCGTCCACGATGTACGATGTGACCTGAGACACATCGTCTCAGGACCAGCAACTTCATGTGGAGTCATACGTCGCCATGTTACCAAATCCACTGGTAACTTTAACATCTTAGTACCTATATAATACCATATAATGTAAACTTAATTTAAACAGCGGGTTTTTAGTGACTCAATACATGTACACATAGACGCTGATGATGAAATATGGATTCCGAAAACGTTTTGTGATATAGCCCGATTGGGCTTTTTAAATTATATACCTTTTATAAAGGATTTTTAATAAAAATTTTTCATAATTTTAATGTTATGGTCTACTTTATAATGCTGTATACTTACTAAAGAAGAATGGTCACATGAGTCAAAGTTTGAGTATGAGAAAATGGATTCCCCCAATACCAAAAATTTAAGTGCAACCAAGTAACAACAATTATACTAACGGAATTTTAATGTACTGAGACAAGCAGATTAAAAGCATAAACACGAAAAATACACGTACCTGGGAACACTATTAACATAAAATATCGACTACACTATATAGATAAAACTCAGGATTCAAAAATCACGTGCTTTTAAAAATAAAAAAGTTTTTTGGAACAAAGATTGTATAGTCACAATCCAAACCAAGTAGATTTACTAAATGTTACATATATTGTGTTTCTATACTATGGAGTTGAATTGTGGACCCTGGATAGAGAGGCGATAAAAGACCTCTATTAAGCGGTTAATGTATAAAGGATTCTGAAAATCTTATGAAGAAGTTTCTTATGAAAGAGTACAAAAAGTATAAAAAGAAGACCAATATCTTAGCTGAAAAACCTAAGAGAGTAGTATAGTAGCTGCTCAAAAGACTCTGTAAAATTTAATTCAAATTAAATTAGGATGATAATGATGCTAGCCAATCTCCGTATCAGAGATGGCACTTGCAAAAGAAGAGCAGTATTGCTTATATCTTAAACTGCTGGCAAAGAAATATCTGTGATGCACAGATTATTACATAGTCAGCAGCACATAAGCCACACTAAAAACATATATCTTAATGAGGCAACCCATCTATGCAAAGCTACGAAATTCAAAATTAATATACAAGGCAGGAAAGACCCTGCCTTGAAAGGTGTGCCCGTACAAGCGGAAGCTACCTGGTACACAGATGGCTCAAAAACATCGGTATAGTAGGGACAAAGCAAGGGACACATTTCTCGGTAAGTCTATCTAAGGAGGTCACAATCATTAACGGTAATCGCAATTGAAAAGAATGCATCGTTTAATTGCCATCTTAGCAGATAGCCAGACAGCGCTTAAGGCACTCAATTATGTAGAGGTCAATTATAAGCTAGTATGGGATTGTGTGTGTACCTTAAATAAACTAGGAGATCGTAGCAAGGTTACGGTAGCCTGGGTACCAAGGCACGAGGGTCATAAGGGCAATACAAAAGCATATGAAATGGTCAAACAAAGCTCATTAATGCTATTCCATGGACCGACTGAATAATTTGAGAGCTTGGTTTAACTGCACTTCCGCTGACCTCTTTAGAGCAGCGGCGCCAAAAGTGCGAATTGCCATGATGGTTGCCAACCTTCTTAGAGGAGATGGCACGTGAAGAAGAAGATGGACCGGAACCATTTTGGAGCATTGCAAGGGCAATAACAAAACAATTACAAACGATAAGTGGGTAGCACACAGATCTCTGAAATGATGAAGAAATTCACCAGGACAGACACAGACGAAACAGTTCATTATAGACATTCGAAAAAATTTACGGCAGACCTAATTAGCAAAGAAAGTTAAAGACATAGTAGGTCTATTAACAGGACACTGTAAGGTGAAAAGTAAGTTAAAGCTTATGGTATTGATAAATAATGATCTATGCAGATTCTGTGACCTATAAGAAGAAACAGCACATTTTGTGTCAGTGCGACAACCTGACAAATGTGTGGTTCTTTACATTAGGCGAAGAAAAGCCACCGGCAAAGAGCTATATAAAAGGATCAGTCTCAAAGTAATTAGATCTATTAAAAAGTTCTAGGCTAGAGAATATAATCTAGGATTAGAGAACCACAATAGATCTGAAAAGGCCGCAGTGAATAGGATGCCCAAGCCAACTCATTGAATCTACCTATCTATATCTTAACTTAAAAATTACATGTTACAAATCTACGAATGAAATATAGAATATTAAAAACCGTTACCAAGTATAAAACAATATAACTTTATAGAAAACGTTAATTCTAACACTAATAAAAACTACAGAAAAATATAACTAGGGTAAGTGCACTAATAATGGACACCCAAGAGAAAATTTTGTACTATTTTTATTCTTCTAATGAAGTATTTGACTTACATTTTTTTTTACTGTGCTAGGATACTAAGAAAGGTATATACTTTCATATACATCCAAGTAAATAACTAAAAAAAAATTGTTTTTCCAAAAAAATATTTTTTGCTACACAAATGCCAAAATCGCCAGTAATGGTCACAAAAACTCTAGTGATGGACTCTCGATAATTTAGTAATGGACACTTTATCAAATATATTTTTATATAAGCTTTTCACTGCGTTACATTGCTGAAATTTTTAACAACCATTCAAAAAAACATAGCAAAATGTAAACTTATGTCCCATGGGCGTAGCCGGGGGGGGGGGGGGGTGGGGTTCGGGTTTCAACCCCCCCTAAAAGTTAAATATTAAGATTTATAAAATTTTTCTTATGAATATAAGGGTTATTTTATGTACTTTTTGTCGTTTTATTTTCTTAAACCCCTCCCGAAACTAAAACCTGGCTACGCCCGTGATGTCCTACAAAAAAATGTTTCACTTAAAAATTGTATAACGCACTTTAAAGAAAACTAGATAGTTCTGGTACTGAGTAATAACCCCGTTTGCCTTTAACTAATGGTTCCCTTATAATCTTTTTAATGTCCTCATAAAAATAAAATAATACATCTTCTTTTTCTGGCCATTTCCAGTCATAGCCTGCTTTTTCCATTGACGAAACTTCTGCTCCTTCCTGGTTAGCTTTTATCACTTTTTCTAGAACAAAGAAAAATTTTGATCATTAAAACATAATTCTGTTAGGAGACGGAAACAA